GGAGGAGGAGGAGGAGGAGGATGCCAACTCGTCGGACGAAGACGACGAGGATGACCGACTGACGTCTGCGCCGCGCGCAATGGCGTCTCTCAAGCTTCCCAACTCGAAGGACGATGCGGTGGTCAAGGCGCGCCTGGACAAGCTGCGACGCTCCAAGACCAACGCCTCGACCACACCGGGCGTGCTCTACATCGGCCGACTGCCCAAGGGATTCTTCGAGAAGCAGATCAAGGCGTACTTTACGCAGTTTGGCGACGTGACGCGCGTGCGCGTCTCGCGCAACAAGAAGACGGGCGCCTCCAAGCACTACGCCTTTGTCGAGTTTGGCGACCGCGACGTGGCCCAGATCGTGGAGGAGACCATGCACAACTACCTCATCGACGGACGTCTGCTCCAGGTCAAGAGCGTGCCCAAGGACAAGGTGCATCCCGAACTCTGGGTCGGTGCCAACCGAAAGTTCAAGCGCGTCCCCACAGATCGGATCGAACGCGTGGTGAGGTCACGCGACAAGACCGACGAGCAACACAAGAGGACTCACGAAAGGGTACTCGCAAGACAGGAGCAGCGAAGAACAAAGCTCAAGGATATGGGTATTGACTACGACTTCCCAGGCTACACCGACGACAAGCCGCAAGCCAAGCGCAAGTCAAAGGCCACAGCTTGATTGCGCATCGTGTATATCCCCGTTTCGTCGTTTTGTTTTTTTGGTTGGCAATCCCACGCACATGTTGTTACGCATTCAGAGTGTGGATGCGAGTTAGATGTCGGCGAGGTCGTCGTGGCCAATGTGCGTTGGGAAGGCCTCGGAGCTTCCCTGGGCATCGCCCGACTCGCCGTCGCCCCACCTCTGTTCGGCGCGCTGTGGGCCCATGTAGCGCTTGACGACCATCTCGACCATACTTTGCCAGCTCATCTGTCCGTCGGCTCTGATGGCGTACCTCGGTTCTACGCCGTACGTCTTATGCGCCACGCTGATGAGCACATCGGCGGTGAGACCCTTGACCAGCTGATGCGAGCTCCTGAACCTGTGCAGCCTGTACACGGCACCCAACCAGGGCACGTCCGTATACGTCCGAAATGCCTCTTGTGGGGGGCGGTGTTTGTCCACACTGCGCGGGTCCGATAGCTCCATCCCCTCGGGAGCGGTCGACGAGAGAAAGGCCCGTAGCGGGGTGGACCAAATATCCGACACTTCATCCGGAGACGCTCGGAGGCGCTTGAGCACCTCGGCGGGATAGCGCACGAGGAAGACGACCGGGTGGACGAGCAGGCCGAGCTTGCTCAGGAAGGGGTAGCCCGTGTGTAGGTGCATGGCCGAGCGCGAGGGGAGCGCAATCTCTTCCACCGACTCGCGCAGCGCCGTCACCACCACATCCGCATCCGACGAGTCCACCTTGCCGCCGGGCAGAGACGCCTGGCCCGGATGCGAGCGCAGGTGGAGTGCACGCGTGGTCATGATGACGCGCAACTCGCCACTCGAGGCGTCTTGGTACAGCAGCGTCGCCACGGCTGCTTGCTTGCGCGTGGGCACATGCTGGAAGCTCGGCGCAGCGGGCGTGGCAATGAGCCGCCGAATGCACGCTGCATTGTGCGCCGAGAGCAAGTCGAGCCACTCGTGGCACTCGCCATTGGATGCCGTCTGCACCTCCATCGTGCGAATGTGATGGTGGTGCTGACAGAAGCGCCTTCTGCTGAGTGTTGTTGTCTTGCAGCCGATCCTCCCCCGAAAAAAGTGGAGGCGTAAAACCCGACCTGTCAAAACGCTCTTCCCGACCTCCTCCATCCCACCTTGCTCTAGCCTCCTCATCGGTTGCAACGCTCATGACATCCCAATACGTCACCGAGCCACCCACCTCGGGCCGCATCGAGCTAATCACCTCCAAAGGCGTCATTGAGATCGAGCTCTTTGCGCGCGAAACGCCACGCGCCTGTCGCAACCTGCTCACGCTCGCCCTCGAGGGCTTCTACGACCACCAGATCTTCCATCGTCTCATCCCTGGCTTCATCATCCAATCCGGCGACCCGTCCGGCACAGGCGACCATGGCGAGAGCATCTACGGTGAGCCATTCCCCATCGAGCCGCACTCGCGGCTGCGCTTCAACCGCCGCGGTCTGCTCGCCATGGCTGCCACGGACCGCGCCAACGAGAGCCAGTTCTTCCTCACGCTCGATGCAACCCCGGAGCTCCAGGGCAAACATACGCTCATGGGCCGCGTTGTGGGCAAGACCATCTACAACCTCGTCGAGCTGGCGCAGGTGGGCGAGATGGATGCACAAAAGCACGACAGGCCACGCTATCCGCCCAAGCTCATCGAGGTGCGTGTGGTGGAGAATCCGTTTGACGATCTCCAGCCGCGCACGACCAAGGCGCAGCGCAAGCAGCAGGAGCAGATGCACAAAGCAGACCAAGCGCCGAATAAGGGGGGGAAAAAGAAGAAGAAGAATACGGCGCTGCTGTCGTTCGGAGACCAAGAGGAGGCCGAGCAGCCTTTGAGAGGCCCCAAAAGCTCGCACGACCTTCTTGCCGAACCCAAGCTGTCGAAACAGCCGGCATCCAAATCGCAGTCGGCTTCAGCGTCGAATGGCGCTTCTTCTTCGCACCAGGCGCAATCGCCATCAGCACCCGCTCAAAGCGTCGAGGCCAGCGCTCTGCCTTCGCATCGGCACGCGCCGGAATCGCCCAAGAGCTCGTCGTCGCCCGGCTCGATGCTGGCGCAGCAACGCGCAAAGTACGCCTCGGCGTCGCGCAAAGCCGATTCCTACGCCGCCCTCGTCGACTTTCAATCGCGCCTTCGCTCCAAGCCCTCGCATCAGGCCCACGCGCCCAAAAAGCAGGTGGTTGAGCACCAAGACGACGACGAGGGCGCCGGCGAATACGGGTCCAGCGCCGACGACGACGACTGGCGTGCACACCGTCTCGATGCCGGAGGCAAACCACTCCAACCGCAAGCCGACCGTCTGCAAGACTACCAGGTCATAGACTCTCGCTCCTCCAAGCGTCCCGCTTCCCCCCCCCCCCCCCCCCCCCCCC